CTTAGCAAAGTGCTACAGGATTAAATTATAACAATGGTTGATTTCTAAAGGTCTCCTTTTTCTAATATATGCACTCCATCAATATTTCACGCACCACAGTTCAGCATATGTGCAATTGAAATGGCATTCAAATTTTAACAATATGCTTGATTTCTAAAGGTCTCCTTTTTTTTATACACCCTGTACAGGGTGTCTCAAAAAAACCCAAAATCATTGAAATTGACGTATTGTTCGATATTCAATGCCCTAGCACTAAGTTAATCCCACGAGTGCATAAAAGATTGACATAACTGCTATAATGAATGGTAATACTCAGCGTAAACTTGTTATGTCAGGCATAAGTACTAAACCCACGAATTTACGAAGCATTTTTAAATTCCCATGAGCAAACAAACGTTCACTTTACAAAGATATTTTAATTTTTTAAAACAAATTAATCACCCTGTCAAAATCCTTTGTGTTACGGCATTGAAATTCGAACAATACGTTATTTCAATGATTTTGTTTTTTTTTGAGACACCCTGTACACCCTGTAGAGAGCGTTTGCACTCATTCCCCAGGGAGGTGTTCCAGACAAGAGAGTCTAATTAAAATTCTTTTGAATTGGAACACCAACATGGCGGCTGTGACGTCGTGTGCAAGTTGTATTTTTATGCGAAAAGACAAAGTATGTTGTCAGGAAATGTACTTATATACCAATATGTCTCTCAGTCTCACTCTCTATTTTGTTACTTTTGTTACTACCAACAATAGCGTAGATTAAGGTTGTTATTTATAGCGCAAAATGTGCACGAAGAGATTGAAATTGACTTTCAAATGAATGCAGATGAACTGGGAATATTCGGCTAAACTACACTAGTGACATCATTGGAATACATGCTATCATATTATAGATCCTGATATAGAACCATTGGCCATTGCCAATATAAACGTTTCTCCGGCAAATGATGGCCATAGAATGAAGGGCATTATGACTTTTCCTCATGCTATACTATATATATAATATATATTTAAAATACTCATTAATAATTCATGAAGAAAATTCAAAAGAAATGAATGTTTAATCAATGACAATGTTTGTAAATCGGATAAAGATTTGTCCTGTCTCCTGATTTACATAAACTTCAGCTTTGATTTTATTTTTAACTAAATTCAAGTTTTAACTAGTACATATATATTTACTTCGGAATGTATTTATTCTGTTCATTATATATGACCATATATGTACTATTTACAACATGAGTGGCCGTGTTGTATCGGATATACAAACTCGAGCCGAAGTGTCTCGTTAAAACGTCTTGATGAGAACATTCATATTCTTCAGCCATTTAAAATAAATGAATGATATTTGGTGAGAAAATTGAACTTAAAGTTCACGTAAATCAGCACGATTCTGTATCAGATATACAAACTCTTTCACGCTCATGATTTCTTTTGTGTTTTCGTCATGAAGTATTGAAGTATTCAGTAAGTTTTTTATTATACTTGGTGCAAAATATATGTATAGTTTAATTTTCTTGCTATTATCAGTCTCAAGACTCATGATCAAGTCACTTTTGAGGTTAACCACCTGCTACCATCTCAGTTTTGTCTTGGCAGCGCGCTATAATGGCTGGTTTCGGAGGTAGTTCATGCCATAGGCATAGTTCGCTTGGCATTTACATTATAATCTACCGTCTCGGTTGTGTTTACAATAAGACTGAGGACCCGTCACGCCCGTCAGCAGATATGATACGTTTTGATAGATTATATTTCTCTGGTATAATAAACAGCCTATTTACATTAATTACACAACGTACCTAACAGTAGCAGTCGCAGCGACCAAAACAAACAGAACAAAACCATGAGTAAATCCAGCTAGTCCAGCAACCGGATTGCCAACACTGCACAGATCAACGAATACAAAACACATGGTTGCGAGCATTTCCGCTACACAAGGCCGAATGAATGTATAAAATACATTCGAAGACACCCTTGTTCGAGATGGTAGTTCCTGAATTTGAAAATTGTTATCTTCTTCCATTTTGCATAGATTATGAGAGCCGAGGTCAACCATTAGACTGTTGATAAATTGTCAAGCGGAAGAGGTCTCGTATATCGATTTGTGCTTTCGTAACACGATATCAAACATGGCATGTGATGACAGCATGGCAGTCACAACAGGGGATATTTCAAGTTCTGATTAGCAAAATAAAGTTCTAAACAGTACGCATGTAAAAACGCACATGTTGTTACAGGTCTGCAAACAAGTTGTTACAACTCTGTTCACAAGCTGTCGACAAGTTGTCTTCGCACTACACATGCACGTAAAAATCTCACATCTTGTAGCAAGTCTGCTAACGGCAAGCCGTCAACAAGTTGTGTTCGTACTGCTTGTCCGGTTGTCCCAAGTTGCGGTCAACAACTTTGGAACAAGCTGTTAACAACTTGTAACAAGATTGATGACATCATCGGACTTGTGGCAAGGTTGTTCCAACAAGTCCGAATTCATGGGCGTACCGGAAGGAAAAAATTAGGGGGGCGGAAAGAAAATTGCCCGACTTTTCGGGATTCTGCCCGACCAGTACCAAAAAATTTTTTCCGGAAAAATTATTTTGGCGACCTCCCCCGCCCAGTCGCCAAAAAAATTTTGGTCAGTGTACCATTTTAGGGGTCAAAAAAATTTTCCGGACAACCAATATTTTTCGGAACATAACACAAATTCTCGAAAAATCACAAAATTTGCCAAAAAATTGACTTAATTTTAGACAGAATTGACAGAATTTGTCCCATTTTTTTTATTGCAAACCAAAATTGCCCGACTGTTGATCGAATATTGCCCGACTGCCCAAAAAACTGGGGGGCTACTGCCCCCCCCCCGCCCCCCCCCCCGCCCGGTACGCCTATGAGTCCGATACAGTCCTGATATAACAATACTCGGTTACAATCTTGTGTCGTCCGCAACCTTGGAACATTCTTGTTATATCATGACTGTTACTGTATCAGACTTGTTAGAACAACCTTGTAACAAGTCTGATAATGGCCATCAAGCTTGTTGCAAGTTGTTAACAGCTTGTTCCAAACTTGTTACAACAACTGGGAACAAGCAGTGCGAACACAACTTGTCGACAGCTTGTGAACAGATTTGTAACAACTTGTTTGCACACCTGCAACAACTTGTGTGTGTTTTTACGCGTCTTTGTTCCCAGTTGTTGTAACAAGTTTGGAACAGGCTGTTAACAACTTGTAACAAGCTTGATGGCATTTATATCAGACTTGTTACAAGGTTGTTTTAACTTTTAACAAATCTGATACAGCCATGCATGATATTAGGCTTACTTCAAAGCCTGTTCTTTTCTCTTTCAAACAAACTATTATCCTTGTCTCCAATGCTAGTAATAATTGCACAGGAAAAGATTTAGTAAAACCTATCATTTTTAGTTGCTGTTTAATTATGCAAGTTTACTATGTTATTGTTTAGTCGGTTTAAGGGTGTCCCCAGAAAAAACGAAAACTATTGAAATCACTTATTGTTAAATTTGAATGCCCTACCAAACAGCTGGACGTAATGATGCGTAAAATATTGACAAGGTGCATGTATTAGAATTTAGTTAGGAATATCTCCTGGTAAAGTGCGCGATTTTCTGCTCCTGGGAATTAAAAACAGCTTCTTAAACAGTTTCTTTATGCATAAAATTTATTTATGTCAATCATTTATCCACTCGTGGGAACCAACAGAGCGCTAAGGCATTCAAATTCTAACAATTAAATTGTTATTGGTGATTTCAATAGTTTTCGGGTTTTTTGGGACACCCTGTATATCAAGAATCTTACAAGCTTGACGCGATACAAGGTTATAACAATATTCAGTTATATCATGACTGCATGTATCGGACTTGTTGGCACCTAGCTGGCAACAAGTCTGATAACATCGACAAGGTTGTTACAAGTTGTCAACAGCTTGTAGTTCCGAACTTGTTGACAACTTGGGACAAGCGACATGCAGTGCGAACACAACTTGTTAATTGACGCCTTGTTGGCAGACTTGTTGGAGACGGTGGCCGTTGAGAGCAGCTAACCAAAGGTCGCATGACTGACAACCGTTCCACATCGGCACTTTCAACCTGCTCGTTTGATCCATGTTTAATTAAGCGCAACTTGTACGAATGCCAACACGAGCGTGCATGCAGAACAAAAGCGAAATCCCGAAATGATTATATAATTTAACGAACTTTGTTCTTCTGTAAACACGAAGCTAAATTGAACATGTCTTGTGGTTGGCTACCGTAAACAAAACGACATTCCTTTTGACCTCGGAGTTTCGTTACATCGCAGTTTCGAACAACAGTATTTTTACAACACAATACAATAGTCAATATTTATTGACAACGCCCATGCAACAGGGCTTTTCAGTGACAATTTTAATTTACAATATTAAATAGTTATGCTGGACAATTGATTAATCCTAACTAAAACACATGCAAGTATTACTAATTTAGTTAACTATAGCTGTCAAATATTAATTTAGGAGATGCTTCCTTAATTTACTTTTAAAACGACTTAAACATTGGCTTGACTTTATAAAGGACGCGGAAAGTTATTCCGAATGTGGACAATTTTATAAGAAAACGATATTTGTCCTGTCTTGCACTTAGTCTTTATACACAAAGGAAGTGTAATTTTTCGGAATTCTTCGCTGTCTGCACTAAAAGCGGTTGAGATTTTATCAGTGTGCTTTTTGACTCGTTTGTTAGGAAATTTTTTCTTTGGTGTTATTGTGTTCATTCATTGTTATAATGAACCTGAATCACAGTCCTATGGCTATGCCCTATACTATATATAGCACAGTGACTCTTCTTCATCGAGAAGAGAAGAATGGTTGACTTAAACTAAATCTATTGATGGTTTAATTCATGGAAATTTAATTTTAATTTGATCGTCACATCTGCATTGTTTTCTCATCAAAACTAGCACGGTTGCATCGTAGCGGTTTCGCGCATGTTTTTTCCTTATTCGGACACGAAATTCATTCGAAACAAATCGAGGTTCTATTGTGGCCTTGGCAACGCTGGCAAAAGGCAAAACGGCGAATGGTAGAAGTGTACGTTGCAAGATCGAATATCAAGCCCAAGTCACGTTCTGAGTTAAAACATATATGCACTGAAGACTGAACCATTGTATAAATGTACACTTTTAGCCGTATGGCCTACATGCTTCCCCATTTTACTTGACGTTGAATTGAGCAGCTGTGATGTCGTGTCCGCAACCGAACATAGCGTACATAATTAACTAACTATATAGGTTAAAACCGTCTAAGGGCAAGGCCTAGTGTACTATTCTAAAACTATACCGTCTTATGCTCAAAAATAAGGATGCACAGCAATAAACTACCATGCACAAGTTGCCGACGTTTCGAGTAAACGCCATTCGTCAGAAAGTCAGTGGAGCTTAGCCTTATATAACCCAGTCGTAGACACATCTGTTAACATCGAAATCTTTTCAATCTTTAGTTTCAAGAAGTTCAGAGACGATTCAAGGCAGCTTTAAATCATTATGAATATCCCATGCACTATCTTACCTAACAGTGGCAGTTGCAGCGACGTTAACAAACAGAATGAAGCCATGAGTGAATCCTGCAAATTTTCCAGAGTCAAAGACCAAACTCACACTGCAAACATCAACAAACACGAAAGTCATAGTTCCGAGCATTTCTGCGACACAAGTCCGAATGAATTTGTAAAATATAAACGAGGCCATTGTTGGCCGAGATCTTGGCGATGAATTGTGCTGTTCTTCGGTGAGAAGTGGAGAGTACGTCGTAGCTTCCTTTTCGCTTGCCATGGCCGTCACGACTGTCGTAATTTTTTCCCAACTACCGTTTACATATACTCCCGACGTCAAGTGCGCAAAACCGTTAAGCGGAACGAATTAATCACGACACATCACATTTCTGAACATGTTAGCAGGGTCGGACTTTAGTGGAAATACTGGCGGGGATGTGGAAAATGTCCCAGGGGAGGGGCAGAAGTTTGGCCCACAGCCCCCCTGGGCTTAGAATGTACAGCACGCTAAAGTTAACTATGTGACGTGTAGTGCACAGATGTACGCATCAATCAATGTATTCATGAATTATGACTATGCAACACATCAAATTTCGCCCCTCGTAAAAATACTACAAGTTTCTTTCGTTGCATCGAAAGGGCATTGAAAGGATAAATGAGATGAATGATTATCAGTTTTTCAATTTTATAGAAAAACATCGTTAATAGACCCGATTTACACTACACTTTTTGTGCCTAAAACTGTCGCATGTAACCTGCTTACAGCTGGAGTTGTATGCTGTGATCAAGCACAGCACTCGGAAGTCAGTTGTGTGCTTCGGATTTACACAGGCAACTCAACTTGTCAGCAGGTTGCATTCGACAGTTTTAGGCAAACTGCAAACGTTGTGTAGTGTAAATCTGCCGGCCTTTACGTATATACAAGGTGTATTTTGACTTTCATTCATTATATTTTGACTTTTATCCATTATTCATTCTGAAGATGAGGTATAAAGGATCTTATTAAATGAAGTGTTCGGAAAAAGGAGGAGCATTCAAGTCGGATATGGTCTGCAGCAGATTAATAGAATAGAATAGAATAATACAATAACTATACTATATTTCAATAATTGTATGCATGTTTGTAATGTTACGAGTCGTAGCTATAGATATCAGAACCCACCGGGCACACGACGTTGTTTCAACGTTGAAATTTGGTAGAAAAAAGGTTGCGACGTCGACAAACTAATATCTACGTTGCTCTGAAGTTGTTTTACAAACATTGCATGGTTCAACAGCAGCCAACAGACGTTGAATTACCGTTCATTCATGGTTAAATGTACGACATCAATTTGTGAACCAATCTCAACGTTGTTTTATTATAACGTGGATTTCAACGTCGAAACAGTAACGTCGATCCAATTTGCATAGTCAACCCTTTTTCAACGTCTATCCAACGTCTGGAAGGTCATTTCCAACGTTGATTCAACGTTGGATAAACGTCATTTTGCCCGCTGGGAAGTTACTATCGCAAGGAAATTGCTGTCATCAACACTAAGAACGTCTGCAAAATATATCGACCCATCGCTAAAAGTAAAATTTGAAACTCCTGAAGGGTAAAATTTAACAAAAATCTTCATATTTTCATCGTGAATCTCTGAAAAAGATTAAAAAAACTGAACGAATTCTAAGATTATAATATGAAAATGTAAATAATAACTTATTCTAACCCTCTAACGGAAATTTAAAAGAAGCCTGGTTGAATAGTAATCATAATATATCAGTTAATCAACATACATGCTCATATACAATTAATATGCATGTTTACTTGTTCACAGAAACAATTGACTATTTCAAAATACTTGTTCTAACGATTCTATCACCATCATAGCTCAATCTTGAATGAAGTACAGCAAGATTATCAAGAAACAACACATCGCTCTCCTCCAACGAGACCCCAACTGCCGTATTCCATGATGTACACCGTAATTTATGCAAATCTCCTAAATCTATAGTATCTTCGTCTGCATGAATCGTATGAGATGGATATTTCTCATCTGCTAACTCACTGTCCTCGTACATTGGCATCGCTTTAAAGTTAGTAGAATGCGACATATATGCCTGATTGAACCAAACCTTTTCACCCGTTAGTGGATGGGTTATAGTCGGTCCAGAGTCGTGCCAGTATATCAGGGTTTTTTCATCCCATTTAAAGGAGTAGCCACTGGCAGCCAGGAATTTCTCTGCTTCGTCTTTATCTTCAGTCATCAAGCTTTGCTGCCAGGAGTTGAACGTGCCTTCGCTTTTGTCCAGAATGTATCGCAGATACCTAAGAATAAAATGGGATAGAAATTATGTTCTTTTGTTTTTTGTGTGGACGATATAGTGTGTATTTGTACACCACAAAAAGATCTCATTTTTCACATCTAATAAAGACAAAATTCCTTCCTTATCTCGTTTTAGTACGACCTTCCAAATTACTTGCCCTAGGACCGGTTGTATCAAGCCCGTTTAGCTTAATTGTATAAGTCAAAATTAAATATAACATGCACTCTTATATCTTTCGTGACTCAGTCAACTTAAATGAGCAGTTGTAAACATTATCGTCCTTTAATAATAAAACGAATAGTTTGGTTGTTGAATGAATCTATAAACAGGGACGCCGGAGCGATAAAAGGGCAGGAAGGGCAATGCGAACATGAAGGGCAGTCGGTAGAAAATTCGTGGCCACGCCCTTTTGATGGGATTTCGATGATTTCCGCAAATGTTAACTTATTAAATCATTATCCCTATGCACAAAATAGATACTACAGAACTAAAGCAATTGGAAATTAGGTTTATCAATATGACGAATCGTCTACCAGTTAGTTTAGTTTATTCTTGTAATCTGTGTTTAGCAGATACAATCAAGCATAACTTAATGTATACTTTTTACAATCGTTCGTAATAAAGATTAATATTATGACACGAACTATCCACATACCACCAGGCACCATGGTCACCCAGCTAGCCAGGCACTGGTCAACCTAACGCTGGTTGTACCAGTAAATAGGTAGTAGGTAAAGACACTAAGCCAAGCATAATAGATTTCCAATAATCGCAAAAACTCAACTTTTACACTAATAATATTTATAGTAAAAGGGCACCTTTGCCCCCCTTGCCTCCTAGGAAAGGGCAAGGGGCGCTTCCCCCCCCC